TTTATAATACTTTACTTTTCAAAATTATTATGTAATACATAATTAAAATGCAAGAATGAAAAAAATATGTAAATAAACAGGTTCAATTAAAAAATACTAAAATACCACTTTGAAGCATACAATTTTTGCCTTCAATTTTTTCTTCTTATTTCAAACCATAATATAAAAAATTCACGTACCTGCCAGTTTACAGTTAGCTCTATATTTCAAAGAGTGAAGTACATTTCTTTACATTACTTTTATTACATTTTAAATTGATTCACAAAAGAAATATAAAAACGAAATTATCTACGTATGTATTATATATTTCAATAATCTAATAGGTAGTAATTTTAAAAAGATAAAAATAAGAATTTTTTAGTTGTAGATAATGTAACGAGGACAGAGGTAAACATTTTTTTTGTCTTATCTGTTAATTTGTTTTCCTACGCGTGTAAGCGTTTATCAATAGAAAAATAAATTCCATTTCTATGGATGTTTTTCATTATTGTACGTCATTACTTTTATATTACAAAGGAACAGTATAAGATGTAATTCTGATATTTTAATTAAATTTTTATAAGGTGCAAGGTGAGAATATATGAAACAAATTTGCGAAGTTGTAAGGAATTCCTCCCACTCGTTTTTAAGGAAGAGTAAAAATAAATTTTGAAACGTAATGTTTCTTTACAAGAAAAAATGAGAAAGTAGAAAAGGGGAAGTAAATAAAATATTCAGAACATTTAGAGAAACAAATCATTAATGATAAAAACGAAGAAAACAACAAAGACTTAGAAAAGAATGTAAATCAATAAACTTTTGGAAAAATGGACCAGCAGAAACTAATATTTTCTATTTTCGTTTGAACATTCACATTCCCTTTACAGAATAACAGAATATCGTCGGATTAACTTCTATCATTTGCAAATGATTAATTGTAATACTTTTACTAGAACGTGTCGCTGATAAATGTTTGGTTGTCGTATCAAATTATTGCGAACATGTTTTTTTACATTATTTTGACTGGAAAATTATTATTCCAGTTTTCATCTATATAAAATGTTACAAAGAAAAATTACAGATCGAATGGGTTTCCAGAAGAAAGACTTATGTCTTATTTTATACATTTTACAGGACGGTGGAAAAACAAATTATTATTCACTGTAGAAAAATGAAAATAATAATTCAATAATCGAAAAGTAATTTATGACTTATTAAAAATACAAAATTGTATTAAATCCTTATTTTCTTTTCGCCAATAGGCAATAAATTTTGGCACACATTAATTATAACTTGTTATAAATTATAATAATAATTATTAGGTTCTAGCATACAGACTGATATTTTATATACAGTCAATTTTCCCATATAACCATCAATGTTTTTCTTTTCCTTAATTTTTGATACTAACAGTAACAATTAAAAAACAAAACTTTGTAGAAATATTTTCCAGACTCTTTTCTTTCACTATATTATAATAACATATTTATTATATTATATATTCTTTATTATTTACATTTTCTCGGAATATTTTCTTCGCGAAGAAGAACTTTTGAAAAATTTGTAACGTAGACTCTCCTTCTAGTTACCTATTTAATTATCTCTTCGCATTCTTACAAGAATCGATGAAGATAATTTTTCGAAATTTGTTCGAAGTTCCGTTGCGTTGCTCGTATTTCACTTTTAATTGTTTTATTTAAAAACGGTCTCGCTGCGCACCTAGCCGCGCACCCAGCCGCTTTGGCTGAGGCGTCCGGCCATCTCTCATTTTCACCGGCAAGCTTCTTTAATTAAGCCACCGCACCTTTCTCATTGTACAGCCACTGCAGTCGAGTGCGCGCACGCGCTTCGACGTGTGGTACGTGCCGCAACTTTACTTCAGAGTACACACGA